GAGCGGGAGGTGAGCGCACACATACCGGCGTTCGCTCACCTCTCGATCCTGTCACCGCTCTCTGCTGTGACAGGGGGAGGGGCTGGATTCCCCCCTCCCCGCTCCGATCCTCCAGCGCTGACTGGCGGAACGAACGGGGGGAGGGGGCGGGTACAGCTGGCTCTGCCTCTGGATAGGCAGAGCCAGCTGTCAGTCACGCAGCTGGGCGGATCTCGACATCGATGTCGGGATCCGCTCCGGCGGCGGCGTCTCAGTATATAGAGAGCTGTAGCTCGCGGTATACTGAGCTTTGGGTGACGGGAGGACGCTAGTTTGTGTCCTCCCGTTACCCTAAGGAGAACTATGGGGAAAAGAGGTGAGCCAACGCCGGTATGTGTTCTCTCACCTCCCGATCTACTGAGCCGACCTGTGACAGTCTCATTGTCACAGGTCGGCTCGAACTATGAGGTGAGTGATAGCACTCGCCTCATAGTTCTCCTTTAAGTGACAGTGGGGAGGGGTATGGCCTCCCTGTCTTAACGGGTCCATCACTAGTTACTTAGTACCTGATGTAAGATTACTAGTCCCCGAGGCGGTGTGGTGCGGCTGGCGGCCGTGTGGGCAGATAATGGGTATTTTTGGTGATGGATATCACGTCAAGGACCTTAACTCCCGCGGTCAGTTAGTTCGTTACAATTTGTTACAATGGTTACAATTGGCTTTGGTACTAAATAATAAAATGGCTGCTGTGGCCACTAAAAATCCAAGACCAGTGTCGTGTTGTTCATTAATAGAGTTATTATTGAATTTAGCTGTTGGAGGTTATTTGACCAACAGGAGCCGTATACAATGCCCTTGTCATGATCTATTGACCAGACAAGCAACACCCGGCGTACGCCCAGGGCATGCACTCTACAGGGGGGAGCAGAAATGGTTACAATGTATCTTCATTTCCTTCCTGCTTCTCTTCCTGTTCATTATGATTGAGATGCGTTGAGGTCTACGCGTGCAGATCTTTAGGCTGACACCACGTTTTGCATTCTTCCACGGACGGCTCTGTAATAAATTAATTCTGAGTTCGCTGCGCGGTGCTCTATAGACCCGTGGGCAGTGCGGAGGAGCAAGAACAATATGCAAAGTGCTGGACGCCGAGCAGCCAAATATAATCTCTTCCAGTTACAGTCAACTAAAAGCTGATTGCGCGGCCAGGAGTGGCCTTGAAGGGACGCAGTCACCAAGAAGAAATGCTTGGACGCGCACTAATTCCATCAGCTCCGTCGGGTTTTTGGCGAATGTGCTTTACTTTTTATTTATTTGTTTTTTACTTAATTTTTTTTATTTAATTATTATTACTTATTATTTTTTACCCATTTTTTTTATTTTTATTTAAGTAATTTTTTGATCAATTTGTTTTCACTTAAAGTGACATGAAACCCTCAGATTTTTTTTACATAAAACAATACTGTAATGTGCGCCTTACTGTAATCCATGGTCGTTTCCCTTCTCTTTGCTGCTCTTCCTTTTAAATCCTCATGTCTTCTCATGCTGGGGGAGAACTTCTGTTTTGCAGCAGACTGCCTTGTCTCAGGAATGGATATATGGTGTCTGTGTGCCTGAGCCAGCACTACAGGAAGAGGCCCTGAGCTGCAAAGGGAAGTTTTCCCGTCATACTGAGCCTGAGGAAAGGGACCCTGCGTGGCCTCGAAACGTTGCTTCTTTGTGGCAACATGCGTCAATAAAGGACCATCGCTTGACCATTGCGTTTGGTGAGCTGATGGCGTTCTACTTCTGCACTAATTCCATCAACTGACGCACCTTTGTCTAGTCCGCCACCGTTCAGATGAAAAGGGACCTACACCCAAATGTTAAAGTGACACTAAACTCCGGAGTTAAATCTTAAAAAACCATCCGAGTCCCCGAACTCTGAGCAACAATGTATCTGATTTGTGTATCACTCGGCTGTAGATCCTCCAATCATCTCTGACACTGTCCTTCCTTCTGGAGGGGGGCTACTTATGTTCCCCATGGCCCCTGTGTGTGTTGTAGAGTCGTCACCGCTCCAAGCTCCGCCCCCCCCCCTTAACCCCCCACCCCGGGATGGACTAGAATCGCAATACAAATAAGTAGGGATGCACCGATACCGATACTAGTACCGATATCGGTGCCGATACCGAGTATTTGGGGGGAGTACTCGTAGTCGCCCAAATGCTCCAATGCCTAGACTGATACTTCCTGTATCAGGAAGTCGGGCAGCGCGCCATTGCACGCAGCGTCCGGCATTCTGATTGGCCGGGAAGCTGGCTTCATGCTCCCTCGTCATCTCATGGCAAGAGAGCATGGAGCCGGCCTCCCGGCCAATCAGAAAGCAGGGCGCCCGTCTTCCAGCTGGGTACCGGAGGAAGGCCGCGTTCTGGCTGGAGAGGCCCCGGGTGTGACAGGCTGGACAAGGTAAGAGGGGACAGACTTTCTTGTTAATCGGGAAGTCTTTACACGCTGCCCGGCTTCCCAGCTAATCAGGTAGCCGGGTGGCGAGTCGTTACACGTCACCTGGCTTTCTGAATGGGACTTCCGTTACTCGGTAATTGGTATCGGCGAGTACCGAAAAAAAATAATCGGTACTCGTACTCAGTACCAAAATACCGGTATCGGTGCATCCCTACAAATGCGTAAACTAAACCTGAGATTGTAGTCCATCCCGGGAGTGAGCTTGGAGCGGTGACTACTTTACAACACAAGTTTGAGTTTAATACTTCTTTAGTTTGTCAGAAGCTGACTTTCAGCCTCGGGAGGTAGACGGGAGACCGAATGCTAACAAATGTAAGTTCTCATCTTGAAATCAAGTGCCTGATAGGGCAGCAAAGCTAAGAAGTCAACGTACATCCGTAATAGGAGAGCTCACCCGGTTATAATCATTATAGACTGAAGACCGGTTCTAACTGGTTGTCCTTAATGCAATGGCTGCCGACCTTCTCTGGTTCATGGATCACACTAAACAAAGAAGCAATGGACCATCTAAACCTACATCTACTTCTTACCATGTAATAACCATTATCTAAAGGTTGCCGTGACTCTCCGCTGCGGTTTCCTCATTCTTTCCCCTGACTTGATATCTCATTGGCATTTTCATACGCTGTCTCGCTCGGTAATATTCGGCTTTATTATGCCTGCCCTCTGCTTCTCCGCACCATTCAATCAGCTTTACTTCATCTCCATCGAACCATAAGTGACAACTAGGGAAGCACCGATACCACTTTTTTAAGACCGAGTACGAGAACCGATACTTTTGATCAAGTACTCGCAGATACCAATTACCGATACTTTTTCTTAAAGGGACAGGTCACATTTTTTCTAAAGCAATATAAACTAATGCTTTAAGGTTACTTTCTTAATATTATGATTCATGAGATGACGAGGTAGCCTGACGCCGGCTTCCCGCCCAATCAGAATGCCGGGCGCTGCGTCATTACACGGCGCCCGGCTTCCGGATTTGCTAGCTTCCTGACCAATCTGGAAGCCGGGCAGTGCGTCATTGCATGCTACCCGGCTTCCTGATTGGCCGGGAAGTCGGCTCCATGCTCTCTCATCACAAGTGACGAGAGAGCATGGAGCCGTTTCCTGGCCAATCAGGAAACCGGGCAGCGTTCTAGGTATCGGAGCATTTGGGCGAGTGTGAGTACTCACCCAAATACTTGGTATCGGCACCGATACCAATACTAGTATCGGTATCGGTGCATCCCTAGTGACATCCCTAGTGACAACCATTCCCGAACTCCCCCCTTTTCCCAATGTCTTTGATCTTTCCTTGCCACACACTATTTATCCGATGCCTAGAAATGACCCCGAGAAGCCCAGAACCCACCGCCATAGACACTGAGCCACCGGGAACAATATTCTACTCATGAACAGAGCAAGGGAAGCCACACAATGGAAAGGGGGCATCTTTTGGTGTTGGCACGCATGTGGGGCCATGCTTATTCTGTTGCAGCCAAGAAGCCAAACCACTTGTTCGGTGGAAGTACGATCCAACTTATAAGCATACATACCACTGTAGAGAATACAATTCAATCTAGAACGATGAGTACTACGTGGATATATAGAGGGTCACATATGGTAGGCGTTGTGTTGGTAGACCAGAAGCTAAAATTGACACTCCTGTTGTAAGAGACTTACCTGATGGACTCCTGCTCAAAAACGTGCACGCACACAAGTATGCAGTCCATTGGCCAAAGTTCCCGGAAAACACGTGAACGCGCGCGTACGGGAAAGTTTATGCACAATAGCGCACGTACGTGAGCGCGCAGAAACATGCTCGTTCGCGTACAGGTGCACGCTCATTATGTGCACACTATCCTATTTAAACAGACAAGAGGCCCTGACCACGTTGCTGAGTGGTCTTCAGCTTGTCCCTGTGTGCTCTGTACTCTGTTCCTGTATTCTGACTTCCTGTGTATGAACCCGGCTTGTGACCTTTTGACTCCGCCTCCTCCTCCTGATTCGATACCTCTGCTCTCTGATCTTTAATCGCATCGCTAGAGTGTTCGGGTCTCGCTAGAAGAAAAGGTGGCGACCCTATCTCCTGTGTATGACATGGTTTACGTTTCCTGACTCTGCTCCTGGTCTGTGATTCGGCACCTCAAGATTCGGCTCCCTGTGTATGACCTCGGCTTGAACCTGACTTCCCTCCTGGTCTGCCACTCGGTGGATCGCTCCATCAGTACCCTGAGCAACGACATCAAGCCAGTGCTTCATTGGCCTCACTCCCGTTGTCTGCTCTGCTTTCAAGAGGTTCCGGAGTCATCCCGGTCCTGCCGATTCACCAGTTAGTCCAACGCACTCAAGCGCATACTCAAGAACTGGCCAGCTACTAGTATCGGCACCTGCATTCCACCCTGCCCTTACATCCCCCGTCACTACTTCCAGAGGTGTGGGGTGAGAGGTGCACGGGCAGCCCCCTTCTCAGCTGAGTCTCCAGTCAGGTACATGGTACCTGTCCTATTTAAGATGTTGGGGATATGGACCGTACTGTAATTCACTCATTCTAAAGTTATCCTTTGCTATCACTGTAGAGGTAGGTTATGCCTTCTACCATATGCCCAGTTTATGTTGGGTGATTTGGTGGGGATGTTGATGATAACTATGTCATGTCATGCATTACATTGGTAACCTTTGCTACTCAGACAGAAAGGGTTTTGGAATGCCTGGCCCAAACTTTAGAACTGACATAAAGATGGTGGCCCCCATCATGAGGATCTCCATTCCCCTTTCCAAAAATCACATCTCTTACAAAACCTTCCCTGGCCAGGTCCCCCTTCTAACCCAAGCAGTCTGTAAGGTAAAGATGGCTCCCACGCATGCGCGTGGGCCCATGCCTCGTGTTGCTGGGAAACATGCTCGAGTGCGCAGATGCACGCAACGGAAGGGCGCACACGTCAGTTGCACAGGAAGTGATGCCGTCACTTTAATGGACTGGTCTATATAAAGGAACCTGCCCTAACCAGGTTGCTGATGGTCTTCAGCTTGTGCTTCCTGTGACCCGTTACCCTGTCTGACTGCCTGCTGCTCGTTTTTGACCCGGATTGCTTTGACTCTTCTTGCTTGCTGCCTGCCTCCTGACTAGACTTGTGCGCCGTCAAAAAATTTGTTCAGTTTCCTTTTGTTCCGTTTCGGAATATCCGTTATTTCGTATTTCGTAATTCGTGTCCGAAACTCAATTTGGATTCGTACGAAATACGAATTTTCATTAGTTTCGGCACATTTTCGTAACTGTATGAACATTCGTTATGATGAAGTTAAAAAGCAAAAATACCTTTGTTAATATTGGAGTCGATGTGGTAGTTGTTTTTTTATCCGAAATACGAATTCCGTTAACGGATTCCGGATCCGAATTTCGTATTTCGGATAAAAAAAAAACTACCATCAACTCCAATATAAATGTACTTTGCTTTTTACCTTCAATATAACGAATGTTCATAACGGAATTTCGTATTTCCTGCCTGTGTATTGTAATGCAACCCTCAGCAGCAGCGGATCCGTATTTCGGATTAAAGAAAAAATCTTGTCATGTTGTTCAACCTCATTTACAGGGGTAACATTAGTTCCCGTTTCAAAGAAATTCGGATCCGAAATTCGTATTTCGGATATAATTCAGAAACTGCAATTCGGATTTCGGATGCTTCCGAATTTACGAATTTCAGGAAAATCCGTACGAATTTCGATTCGTAACGAAACGAATCGCACTTGTCTACTCCTGACCTCGACCTGATTACTGGACTCTGCCTTGCCTATCGACTTTGTACTTCGCTGCCCGCCTGGTTTGACCTCTGGCTTCGTCTGACTATCCTGATCCTGAAAGTGTACTGCACGGTGTCCGGACCATCCACTGGCACTCAAGGTCCTTGCTGTCCGGACTATCCACTGGCACTCGTGCTCCTTGCTGTCCTCCGCACACCCTGTTGCAGGACACGAGACGCACTGGTCTCCCACCGGGTACGTGATACAGTCCTTGTGGTCAAACATCTACAGAACCTTTCTTGTGTCCATTACTCCCACTTGATTCCAGTTGTCGATGAGGTAAGGCCTAACCTACCTCATCTCTCTTCTTACTTCCTCAACCCTTTCTAGGTTCTTCATGCCCTAGTCATTACGTCCCTCCATTCATGCTACTCCTCTGGGCCCCGCTCTCCACACTACTAGACTCGCTTCGGTCATGGAAAATAATATCGATCTTCTTCCAGCTTTCCATTAAAACTTTCAGTCCTGTACATCGTGGCTCTAAAGGTTCTCCTTAACTGTAAATACACGCCGCTTTATGGAAATAAATATCAATATTTAAATCCCAGACGAACAACGCAATTTTTAAGCGGCCCGTATTGGAAAATTGGACACGCTTGACTGTTATTACACCAGAGATCAAAGATTCCATTTCTCCTTTGCTCGAGCTTCCATTAGACAAGCCAGAGTCGAAAAAAAAAATGGAGGTTCCTGCCAGCCGGAGAGTAGACATCCATCGACTTGTTAATTTAACCGAATGTTTTCCCTGGAGCCCGCTGTAGACAACGCATTTGCAAAATTACAATTACAGGCAATTTAAAAATACCTCAGCCATCTCTTCTTCTACAGGCGTTCATTGTGCCATCGCAGAGTGAGGCCCGAGCACAATCCAACCTGCAAAGCTCATCTTAAAAAAAAAAACCCCTTCTAATTTACACAGTTGTCTTCAGTTGTAACCCAACCGGCTGAGAAATCCGGAGAGATCCATCTTTCAAGCAGCCACAATCCGTGCGCCGTGCAGAGAGGAAGCTGCTGAGCGCGCGATATTCTGTCCCCCACATCCATTAGCAGGATTGGAAAAACAAGAGGGAGCTCCATGGAGAAAAAAAAAGAAAAAAAGAGATCACGTTAACTAGAATTGCAAAAGTAGCCAACGGTGGGATTCTTTTATGGGTTCGTCGCTGGTTTTTAACTTATATTCTCTGGAAGTCGTTTTGATTTTCACCAATTAAACTTTCAATTACGAAGCAATCCGGTCACTATGGGACTGCAGAATCTTACAAAGGCTGACAGCGCCGGGGAAGCTAACAGCGTTTCTTGGTTTATCGGAAGCGGCAGATCACAGGATTTATCTCCTCACTCGTGTCTGGGCTTCCTCCGGTGAGCGCAACTTACCCAGCTGAAGAAACCCTGGTTATTGTAGAGCCGCAGGTACTGTGTGAGTGACATTGATTATAGTGTTATTGGTGTCTATGATCACAGGCGGGAAGAAGTCGCGCTATCCACTTTATACTGTTATCTCACACTATGATTATATCCGCCTGCGTCTGTCATCCAGAGCCGAGAGAGAGAATAGCCGGCATTGTATCTGGAACTTACAGCGGATAGTTTCCATTTTAAGGTCCACGCGTAGGTAGCGGTTCATTTTATGGGTCTATTGTTATGTTTTTGTTGACAAGTATGAGGACGATCATTGACCGGATTTGTGGGAGGAGCCCCGCACGATCGTGTCATCCCACCCTCCCGAGCCCAGTGGCGTAACAATCGGCATAGCGACCCAGGCGGTCGCTATGGGGCCCGGGGCACAGTGGGGCCCGGCCAGATGCCGTGCGGTCCGCCTGGGTCGCTATGGGATCCTCTGCTGGTGGCTTTCACTGGCGTCCGAAGACGAACACGCCGCTGTTCAGATCATCCGTGCAGCGGCGCGTTCGTCTCCACAGAGTCGATGAGAGCCGGCAGCGGCTGGGGGGGCAGGCTGGACCCGGTGTTCTATCAACGTCACCGGCAGTGGAGGAGGAGGCGGGGCCCGTGGTCGGCAGCATGGGAGGAGGCGGGGCCCGGTGACGAAGAAGGAGGCGGGCCCGGCGACCATGGAGGCCGACAGCGCTGACAGGTAAGAGGTGTGCAGCCCATCTGAGACCCTGCAGAGCCCACCATAGATAGTCTATGGTGGGCTCTGCAAGGTCACCCTCAGGTGGGATCTCGAGTGGGCTCTGCAAGGGGTATAACTAAAAATCCTAAGTGCAGACGGGGAAAGAGGAAGTGGGGCCTGGAGACGGAAGAGGAGGCGGGCCCGGCGACCATGGAGGCCGACAGCGCTGACAGGTAAGAGGTGTGCAGCCCATCTGAGACCCTGCAGAGCCCACCATAGAGCGTCTATGGTGGGTTCTGCAGGGTCACTCTCAGGTGGGCTGTATGGTATATCAGGTGAGCTCTGCATGTGGCATAACTAAAAATCACGGGGGCCCCATACAAAATTTTGCTATGGGGCCCTGTGATTTCTAGTTACGCCCATGCCCGTACCCCTTCCATCAGAATTACTCTGAGTATGCCCACCTTATTGCATACTGACCATAGTGACCGTGGCACACCTCAGGTCAAGGTTAGGTGGGGTCATCGCCTTCATGTTACAGGTACGAATCAGTGGGGCTCTGACTACAAATTGGGGACGTAATTCGCTATGAACCCGGCCAGTGTTTAAAGGAGAACTGAAAATCACTCAGCCTCATAATCTGAGCCGACCTGTGACAATAAGACTGTCACAGGTCGGCTCAGCGGATCGGGAAGTGAGCGAACACATACCGTCGCTCGCTCACTTTTAGATCATCTCCCTGCAGAGAGCCGTGACTGTCACTCACAGCTCCCTGCAGGGATTCCCCTCCTCCCATGTCCGATCCTCCAGTGCTGACTGGAGGAACAGACGGGGGAGGGGCCGGGCACAGCTGGCTCTGCCTCTGGATAGGCAGAGCCAGCTGTCACTCACCCAGCTGGGCGGATCCAGACATAATTGTCGGGATCCGTCCCGGCTGCGGCGCCTCAGTATACCGCGAGCAGCAGCTCCCTATATATATACTGAGCTTTGGGTGACGGGAGGACGCTAGTTTGTGTCCTCCCGTGACCCTGAGAACTATGAGGAAAAGCACTGACCCCATAGTTCTCCTTTAAAAGAAGGTGGAGTCTCTGCTACGGAAGGTCCACTTTAACAGCTCAGAATGAGTGTTTTTCAGTAGAAGGCCGGCCAAGTGCCTCTGTTGTGAAATTTGAAGATTAATTTCTCCACAATGCCTATAGCTACACGTGTGAATGAGGGCTTGTTTTACAAGTACTGCTTGTTCAGAATAGGTGAATGCTGTATTGTGCATAGTCTGGGCACAGGTTCACTTTAACAATGATACGGTTAATGCAGTTTCTTGATATCAACTCCCCCTTCCTTTCTTCCTCGTCGCTATCACCTCTCCTACTATATTTCTCTCAAGCCTTGATCTTTCTCGTGGCTCTTCTCAGC